ACCTATATAAACGACCCAAGTGTTGTCTTCCTCACAAACAACACCTTCTGTATAATCTGTATTTATAGGAATATCTACATTTGCAGGAACATGTATGGGGTCCTTCGCATCCACATTTTCATTTTGCCTCACACAACCAACCTTCTCTATAGTGTCCTCCTCACCAACCAAATCACCGCCTACTAGGGGTGGGTGGGTCTGGGTCCTGCCCAAAATCAAAGGAACCGAAATCAAAATCGGGCGGTTCCTTTGATTTGGAACTGGAACTATAATAGTCGGTTCCGGTTCCGGTTCCAGTTCCAAGTACCCTAGAAAATATCAATTACCACCTTTTTTTTTTAAATGACAAATAAACCCTTAAAAATTATAATTACACCCCTAACAATTAAGTACAAAACATTAAATAATATATTTGTTTATATTTACGTGATGTTTAATGCTTGATTATAAGTATTTAATTGTTTGTTTTCACTGATAATAAACATTTAAAAGCTATTATTTAACGTAAATGTCTTAATGTATATTAAATTTCTTAATCAAGTAATAAGTGAAACTTAAATATTAATAAGAATATTTTGAAAAAGTGATCTTTTAATGAAAATTAATAAGACTTTTGATAGTAAGATAAAAAAAACCAAAATTTTCTTATATATTTATACGATATGCAAAATATCAAAAACAAACCCCTCATATGCAAAATATCAAAAAAACCCTATTCTTTAATAGTATATCAATTTAGTCCCATTTTCGATTCCTTTGATTTGGAACCAGAACTGGAACCACACAATATCGGTTCCAATTTTTTTAAATTGGAACCTACCCTATTACGGCTGGTTCCGGGTAAGAACCGGAACCGACACCAGGGTACCCATCAGTTTCGATTCTACCCTAAAATTTTGCCCACCCCCATCGCCTACTCTTGATTTTTCAACAAAAAAATCAATACCCTCGTAGTTAAAATTAAAACCAGCATTCTCCTCACCCATATCACCGCTTAATTTTGAACCAACTTCCAAAGCTTTATCCACAACCGAAATCGTTAAAATCGGCCTCGAACCATTATCGCCCACATCTAGTATAAATAACTTCACATTTTCATCAGACATTAATACAACAGGGGGTACCTTAAAATTTGCAGGAACTCTGCTTAAAACATACTTCATAACTATATCATCACGTGAGCAACTCAACCAACCTCTTCTAATGATTTCATCAATCAACTCATCAAAACTAACTTTTGTACGCACAACAATTACTTTAACTTGTTTGCTCTTCCCAATCCACTTCCAACAACTTTCTTTGTCCACCCACTCACCAAAATATTCAACACCCAAAACCACTTGTCTCATGTCTAATAATAGTCAAGTCACCTATAATGCATGAAAACAAAAATTATTTACCGATATATTAAGGGTTGATAGATTTTAAAAAACATCTCTAGAGTTGCTTAAACAATGTGGTGTATCGCTTAAGCGATCTAGTATAAATAAATTTGATCGCTTAAGCGATCTTATGTCATATACTTGATCGTCTAAGCGATCTATTGCCATAGACCAGACTTATAGTAAATCGCTTAAGCGATTGTCTGCCATAAATCTAATCGCTTAAGCGATCTGCCATCTGCTGTATTAAACTAGACATACCAGATCGCTTAAGCGATACACAAGATCGCTGAAGCGATCCATTAGATATAAAACACATTTTCAGTCATCTCCACCTACAATCGGTGCTACCACCCCCAACTACCAACAATGCAAGAAAATATTCAACCAAAATTCACTCTTTTGAACTTGCATTACATCAAACACAACCCAAAAACCTAAACAACTAAATCAAAATCATAACTCAAAACCAATTTATCATTAAATCTTTGTAAATCGAAATTTAAAATGCAAAGAGGAGATACACATACGTGGACGAAATGTCAGGAGGAGAAGGAGGAGGAGGAGGAGGAGGAGAAGGAGGAGGAAAAGATGTTAATGGCAAAGGAAGAAGAAAATGTTAATGGCGAATGAAGAAGAAGATGTAGAGGAAGGAGGAAGAAGAAAATGTAGAGGAGAGAGGAAGAAGAAGATGTAGACGAAGGAGAAGGAGAAGATGGAGACGAAGCTTAGAAAGAACAACAACCAAGGGAGGTGCGTTAATGTCGGAAGGAAGAAGAAGAAGGTGTTTGGGTTTGTTTGCAAAAAATTCGACTTTTTGGGGACATATTATAATTTTTAAAAGATTACACAATACTTCATTAATTCTAATTAACCACTGATCATGTTTAATTAATCTTAATCAATAATAAGGTTATTTACTTAATATTTTAAAACTACATGACCTTTTAATTAAATTTAAACTTGATTTGGTCTTTTAATAGAATGCCCCTAGAAACCCAAGACAGAAACTAAAGTATTACTTTCATAATCTTTCCAATTCCAAGAGCGGGAATATTAATTTTCATAAATAAAAAAAATTAAAACATTTAAATTTCCTAAGTTACCACATTTAGGGTATTTTTTTTCTCATTTAAAAAGAAAGGAAAAAAGAAAAAAAGCGATGAAAACAAAAGAATAGTGGGGAGAAGAGAAGAGAAGAGAAGAGAGTGCACATTTGTCTCTTGATTTTTCTGCATATATTTTTCAACTACCTACCACCATTTCTCCACCTTAACCCACGCCTCTCCGTGGCCCCTCCAAAAATTCTGCACCACCTAACCCCTTTCTCTTTTCTCTGTTTCTTACCGCCAATCAACTTCTTTCAACTCTTCATTTCTTCTTTCTTCTTATCTTCGCTTTCTTTCTTGTTGTGCTCTGTTCTTTTTCCATTCCATCAGTGGAGGCCAAGCTTCTAGGTCCTAAATCCCCCCCTTACCAACGTCTACTGGTACCTTTGGGACATACCTGGCCTCATTAAGATCTTGGCCCAATGTGTCAATCATCTCATATATCTTTTCCGATTTAGGGTGCAATCTATCGTATACTGTAAATTCATGGACCTCGTTGTCCACTTCAATAGAACTAGCCCCCGATGGCTTTTGAATTCCAGTGCTTCTCATAAGTAGCCTTACATTAGAAACGTTGTCCAAGTCTCCTGCTGCTGCAAAAATGTTTGACAACATAGAGTAATTCCCAGGATCCGATGGTTCCAATTTAACCAGGTGATCAAGTGCCTCCCGAGCAAGTTCTAAAGCATTATGCATTCCGCACGCTCCCAAAAGGGTACTCCAAATAACGGCATTTGGTTCAAATGGCATGCTGTGCACAACTCTAAAAGGCTCCTTAAGACGGCCACCCCGACCCAAAAGGTCAATCATGCAACCATAATGCTTAACTCCAGGAAGAATCCCATAATCTCTTTCCATTGAATAGAAATACTGTACACCCTCGTCAATGAAGCCTGCATGTGAACAAGCACATAAGACACCAATGAAAGTAATTTTATCAGGCGCAAACCCTTCTTGTTTCATCCTTGAGAAAAGCTCCAGTGCTTTCTCACCATGACCATGCATCGCAAATCCTTGTAGCATAGCATTCCAAGACCCCACATCTTTCTTTGGTGTCACATTAAAGAGACTCATAGCCTTGTCCAAGCTACCACACTTTGCATACATATCAATTAAGGCATTGGACACATTCGTACTACATTTAAACCTATATTCCTCTCAATAGAAGCATGAACTTTCGTCCCCAAACTAAGCAAACCTGACTCAGCACAAGCAGCCAATATTCTAATAACAGTCCCAGCATCCGGCTTCAATCCAACCTCCTCCATTTCATCATACAATCTCATTGCCTCCTTCGTCATCCCCTTTTCAGCGAACCCAGATATTAAAATAGTCCAAGGAATCAACTTCTTAACCGGCATCCTATCGAACAACAATTTTGCCATCTCCATATCTCCATCTTTACTATACCCCCAAATCATCGTTGACCACGAAACAACATCTCTCGCTGGAATTTTTTCAAACAATTCAGACGCCGAGTTCATTTCTCCAGCCTTTGCATACCCATCTGACATCATATTCCAAGTAATCCTATCTCTCTCAGGCATTTCATCAAACAGTCTTTGAGCTTCAGTCAACTCCCCACTTTTCACCGACCCATAAATCGTTGAATTCCACGTCACGATATCTTTCTCACCCAGAACCATAAACAACTTCTTAGCTGCACTAACACCAACCACACCACACTTTGAGTAACTATCAATTAACGCATTAGTCACAGAAATATCACTCAAAAACCCACATTTCTCTATCAGGGTATGTATCATTTGTACAACTTTTATCCCATTTTGCCCACCACACGCCTTTAAAATAAAGGGGTACGTATAATTATCAGCAAAAACACCATCCTTTTGCATTTCAAGGAAGACCCTAAAAGCGTAAACATTCTTAGAGTTTTGCACGCAAGCGCTTATCAAAGTATTGTACAAATGAACACTAGGGTCTTGAACATAATTAAAAACCTTAATAGCCAACCCCAATTGGCAGCAAAGGGACAAAGAAGAAACGAGTTTCGGTGCGATATACAAGTCATTGTGGAGGTCCTGTTTGATGATTTGTGCGTAAAGTTGTTTAATGTGGTTAAGGTTGGTGCGTTTGTGAAGGGTTTGAAGCTTTTCTTCCAAGAGTTCCCGTGTGGAGACCCAAGTCGCAGCTGGAATTGGGACACGCATTCGAGCCTTAGCGGTGTAAGGTGGCATTGAAGAAGCGATTTTTCGTCGTGTGATGAAGAATTGGAGATAGGTTTGAGTGAATTTTGGCTCAAGGATTTGAAAGTTTTAACCTTTGGTGTGCGTTTAAACTATGGGTTGCTTGTGGTTTCGCTTCTTGGGCTTACCCACAAGAGAACATAATTATCAATCCAAGTAGTTGATAACAGGATTTTATAATTCTCAATTATGTCTTATTTCATCACCCAAAACTTTAGACAACACTAACTAATTTCTTACATATAATTAGAGAATAATATTTACAAGAACAATTCTTTCATATATTCAACTATTAATCTTCTTCATAATACAAATTGAGGATATCACAGAGATTCAAAACATGAGTATGACAGAAACCCATAGACAGAAACTACAGTATTACTTTCAGAATCTTTGCAATTCCAAGGGGGGAAGTATTAATTTTCATAAATTAAAAAATTAAAACCTTTAAATTTTTAGGCTATTTTTTCTCATTTAAAAAGAACGAAAAAAAGAAAAAAAGCCATGAAAACAAAAGAAGAGAGTAGTGGAGAGAAGAGAAAAGAAGAGAAGAGAGTGCCCATTTGTCTGTTGATTTTTCTGCATATATTTTTCAACCACCTACCACAATTTCTCCACCTTAACCCAACCCTCTCTCCGTGGCCCCTCCAAAAATTCTGCGCCACCTAACCCTCTTTCTCTTTTCTCTATTTCTTACCGCCAATCAACTTATTTCAACTCTTCATTTCTTCTTTCTTCTTATCTTCGCTTTCTTTCTTGTTTTGCTCTGTTCTTTTTCCATTCCAATAATGGAGGCCAAGCTTCTAGGTCCCAAATCACTCCATCACCAACGTCTACTGGTACCTTTGGGACATAACTGGCCTCATTAAGATCTTCGACCAATGTGTCAATCATCTCATATATCTTTTCCGATTTAGGGTGCAATCTATCGTATACTGTAAATTCATGGACCTCGTTATCCACTTCAATAGAACTAGCCCCCGATGGCTTTTGAATTCCAGTGCTTCTCATAAGTTGCCTTACATTAGAAACGTTGTCCCAGTCTCCTGCTGCTGCAAAAATGTTTGACAACATGGAGTAATTCCCAGGATTTGATGGTTCCAATTTAACCAGGTGATCAAGTGCCTCCTCAGCAAGTTCTACAGCATTATGCATTCGGCACGCTCCCAAAAGGGTACCCCAAATAATAGCATTTGGTTCAAATGGCATGCTGTGCACAACTCTAAAAGCCTCCTTAAGACGTCCACCCCGACCCAAAAGGTCAATCATGCAACCATAATGCTCAACTTGAGGAAGAATCCCATAATCTCTTTCCATTGAATAGAAATACCGTACACCCTCATCAATGAAGCCTGCATGTGTACAAGCACATAAGACACCAATGAAAGTAATTTTATCAGGCTCAAACCCTTCTTGTTTCATCCTTGAGAAAAGCTCCAGTGCTTCCTCACCATGACCGTGCATCGCGAGTCCTTGTAGCATAGCATTCCAAGACACCACATCTTTCTTTGGTGTCACATTAAAGACACTCATAGCCTTATCTAAGCTACCACACTTTGCATACATATCAATTAATGCATTGGACACATTCGTACTATATTTAAACATATTCCTCTCAACTGAAGCATGAACTTTCATCCCCAAATTAAGCAAACCAGACTCAGCACAAGCAGCCAATATACTAATAACAGTCCCATCATCCGGCTTCAATCCAAACTCCTCCATTTCATCATACAATCTCATTGCCTCCTTCATCATCCCCCTTTCAGCGAACGCAGATATTATTATCGTCCAAGGAACCAAGTTCTTAAACGGCATCCTATCAAAGAACAATTTTGCCGTCTCTATATCTCCATCTTTACTATACCCCCAAATCATCGTCGACCACGAAACAACATTTCTCTCTGGCATTTTTTCAAACAATTCAAACGCTGAGTTCATTTCTCCAGCCTTTGTATACCCATCTAACATCGTATTCCAACTAATCGTATCTCTCTCAGGCATTTCATCAAACAGTCTTCGAGCTTCACTCAACTCCCCACTTTTCACCAACCCACAAATCATTGAATTCCACGTCACGGTGTCTCTCTCACCCAGCACCATAAACAACTTCTTAGCTGCACTAACACCAGCCACACCACACTTTGAGTAACTATCAATTAACGCATTGGGCACAAAAATATCACTCAAAAACCCACATTTCTCTATCAGGGCATGTATCATTTGTACAACTTTTAACCAATTTTGCCCACTACACGCCTTTAAAAGAAAGGGGTACGTAAAATTATCAGCAAAAACACCAACCTTTTGCATTTCAAAGAAGACCCTAAAAGCGTGAACATTCATAGAGTTTTGCACACAAGCCCTTATCAAAGTATTGTACAAATGAACATTAGGGTCTTGAATATAATTAAAAACCTTAATAGCCAACTCCATTTGGCGGCAAAGGGACAAAGAAGAAACGAGTTTCGGTGCTATATACAAGTCATTGTGGAGGTCCTTTTTGATGATTTGTGCGTGAAGTTGTTTAACGTGGTTAAGGTTGGTGCATTTGTGAAGGTTTTGAAGCTTTTCTTCCAGGAGTCTCCGTGAGGAGACCCACCTCGGAGCTCGAATTGGGACTGACATTTGAGGCTTAGTGGTGTAAGGTGACATTGAAGAAGCGATTCTGCATCGTGTAATGAAGAATTTGGAGAGGGGTTTGAGTGAATTTTGGCTCAAGGATTTGAAAGTTTTAACCTTTGGTTTGTGTTTAAGCTTATGTAGATAAGGTGTTCGATCTCTTTGTTTTGGTTTGGTTTCTTGTGGTTTCCCGCTTCTTGGGCTTCTAATATTTTCTTGCACTTCCATTGTCCTTATTAATTTTTTTTTAAATAAGAGAAAATTAAAATTAAATCAATTTTTTATATAAAATTAACGTTTGGTAAGTTTTTTATAATACTATTTTTGGCCAAATAGCATTTTTGGAAAATATGATAGGATTATGAGAAGTTTTTGGTATATTTCTGCATAGCATCTTCTGAAAATATTTAGATTATTTTAATCCATAGGTTTGTTATTTTAATTAAACACCACCCATAAAAAAACTTTATAAATTAACAAAAACACCTCCATGAAAAAAGTTTATAAATTAACCACCACCAGAAGGTGGCTAGAATATGTCAGAATAGTATACAATCGGCTGAATCTGACCAAATTTGGTTGAAAAATACCAGATCGACGCATGACCTACCAGATCCAGCCAATTGTGAGCCATTCTAACAGATTCCAAGCTGTCAGCAATATGTGGGTGGGTGGGGGTGTTTTTATCAATTTATAAACTCTTATTATTGGGGGTATTCAGTTAAATTAACAAACCTAAGGGGTTAAAAATAATATAAATATTTTTAGAAAATGCTATTCATAATTGTACAAAAAACTTCTCAAAGTGCTATCCTATTTTCCAAAAATACTATTTAGAATAGAATGTTATTCTAAATAACTAACCGAAAATACTATCTAGCATAGAATACTATTCTAAATAATTAAGGCTTCGTTTGATTCAAAATTTGGGGGTTTTGGGAAAAGTTTTTTGAAAAAAGTTGAATTGGGCGGGTATTACGATGTAAGATTTATAAATTAATAAAATGCCCCTTATGTTTGTTTTTCTACAAAATACGCCATATAATAAAACATTAAAAGTTAATAAAAACACCTCCAACCCACCCTCAAACACCCCCAGCCGGCCACCACCACCACCGGAGGTGGCCGGAGTCACCTTATCGGCGCATGACCGGCTGGATCTTGCCGGTCATGCGCTGATATGGCCTTTTCCGGCCAGATCCACGGTGGATCTGGCCTGCAAAGGCTAGATCTACGGCTAGATTTGGCCGTCAACGGTCAAATCTAGCCGTATTTGCTCTCAACGACGGCCAACAAACGGTCGTCGTTGATGGTCAACGACGACCGTTTGTTGGCCGTCGTGACCGATTGTTACGGCCAAAGATCTGGCCGTCAACGGCCAGATCTTTGGCCTTAGATCTGGCCTTTTCCGGCTAGATCCACCGTGGATCTGGTCGAAAAATGCTAGATCGGCGCACTACCGGCCAGATTCAGCCGGTAGTGCGCCATCCTATCAGATTCCGGCCATTTTCCGGTGGTGGTGGCCGAAATCTGGTAAATGTGGATTGTTGGGGTGTTTTTATAATTTTAAAAAAAATATTTAGGGGTATTTAATTGAATTAACAAATTTAGAGGGCTTAAAAAAAATTGAATAATATTGAAAATAGTATTCCCAAAAATGAGGGCTTCGTTTGGTTCAAGATTGGGAATACTACTCTTAGTATTCCCAAAAAAGTTAAACAGTAAGATACCCAAAAACTCTCATTTTTTAGAATACTATTTTCAATATTATTCAATTTTTTTTAAACCCTCTAAATTTGTTAATTTAATTAAATACCCCGAAATATTTTTTTTTAAATTACAAAAACACCCCAATAATCCACATTTACCAGATTTCGGCCACCACCGCCGGAAAATGGCCGGAATCTGGTAGGATGGCGCACTACCGGCTGAATCTAGCCGGTAGTGCGCCGATCTAGCCTTTTCCGGCCAGATCCACAGTGGATCTAGCCGGAAAAGGCCAGATCTAAGGCCAAAGATCCGGCCGTTGACGGCCAGATCTTTGGCCGTAACAGTCGGTCACGACGGCCAACAAACGGTCGTCGTTGACCATCAACGACGACCGTTTGTTGGCCGTCATTGAGAGCAAATACGGCCAAATCCACCGTGGATCTAGCCGGAAAAGGCCATATCGGAGTAATGACCGGCAAGATTCAGCCGGTCATGCGCCCATAAGGTGACTCCGGCCACCTCCGGTGGTGGTGGCCGACTGGGGGTGTTTGAGGGTGAGTTAGGGGTATTTTTGTTAACTTTTAATGTTTTATTATAGGGGGTATTTTATAAAAAAACAAATATATAGGGTATTTTATTAATTTATAAATCCTACGTCGTAATACCTGCCCAATTCAACTTTTTTTTAACTTTTTTCAAAAAACTTTTCCCAAAACCCCCAAATTTTGAACCAAACGGAGCCGAGAGTTTTTGGGTATTTTACTGTTTAACTTTTTTGGGAATACTAAGAGTAGTATTCCCAATCTTGAACCAAACGAAGCCTAAGGCTCCGTTTGGTTCACTTTTTTACATTTTTTAGAAAAGTTTTGTGAAAAAAGTTAAAAAAAGTTGAATTGGGCAGGTATTAAGATGTAGGATTTGGAAATTAATAAAATACCCCCTATATTTATTTATTTACTAAACACCCCTATAATAAAACATTAAAAGTTAACAAAAACACCCCCAACCCACCCAAAAAATATGGACAGCCGGCCACCACCGCCGAAGGGTGGCCGGAGTGGCTGTATCGCATGATCGGTTGGATCTTGTCGATCGTGCGCCGATATGACATTTTCCGACCAGATCTACCGCTAGATTTAGCCATTGATGGCCAGATCTGGCCGTATTTGCTCGTCAACGATGGCCAACATATGGTCATCATTGATGGTCAACCAAACGGAGCCTAATAGATTCTGAAAGTAATATTGTAGTTTTTGTTCTTGTGTTTATATCATTATTCAAGCTTTGAATGTTTGTGATATCCTTGATTCATATTATAAAAAAGATCATAAGGGCCCTTTGGTACACAATTTTTCACTACTCTATTTCCTATTCTATCCAAAATACACATTTATTTCCTTATTTTCAAAATATTATTATATATTGTTCAATTCTTTTTAAACCCCCTAGATTTATTAATTTAACTAAACACCCTCAAAAAAATTTAGAAATTGACAAAAACACCCCAGTAACCCACATTTGCCAGATTCCGGCCACCACCGTCGGAAGCTGGGCGGAATATGGTATAATGGCGCACTACAGGTTGGATCTGCATGGTAGTGCGCCGATCTAGCCTTTTCCTACCAGATCCATGATGGATCTAACTGGAAAATGTCAGATCTTTGGCCGTAACCAATCGTCAACGACGGCCAAGATATGGCCATTGTTGACCATCAACAATGACTATATCTTTGACCATCGTTGACGACCAAATGCGATCAGATCTAGCCGTCAATGGCAAGATGTAGCAGTAGATTTGGTCGAAAAATGTTATATCGGTGCATGATCGACCAGATTCAGTCGGTTGCACACTAATACAGCGACTTCGGCCACCCTTAGGTGGTGGTGGCCTACTGTCGGTATTTAATGGGTGGGTGAGGGTGTTTTTGTTAATTTTTAATATTTTATTATAGAGATTTTAGTAAATAAATAAACATAAGAAGTTATTTTTTTTAATTTTCAAATCCTACATCATAATAATCACTCAATTTTTTTTTTTTAAGATATTATTCTATAAAGTATCAGAATAAAAAAACAAGTGCACCCTTAATAATTGAATGAGATATCAAAAGTTTTCAAGAGATTTTGTTATATGGTTAGTGAGTTGAGCGTGTCAAATGCATAGTCAAAAGTCCGTATTTGACTGCCATATCATCGTTTGTGTTCAGTTCCCGTCCCTTTCTTATTAGTTGGAATTGTGTTAGGAAGGAGTATTTTAATGACCTTGTGGTTAGACTTTGATATGCAGGAATATTTCTAGGTAGCCATTTTTTTTTTTTTAATATCACATATGGTTCTTTTTTGACCCAATTTTTTTTTTCCTATTTCTTTAATTTTACTTTAAATTTGCTAAAACGATCAAAAGAGTCTATCAATCCAATAAAATAGCATCACAAAATAAATAAACAACATGTTACCTTCGAGTGACCGAATAATTTGATAGAGACTCTTGAATGTATTATTCAAGAGGTACTGAGTATGAATTCCTTCTCAAGTGGTAATAGAGGTAATTACTAGAGTTTTTTACCCGGACGATAGTTTTAGAGCCTCGAAAGATTAATTAAAATATATGTAAGCTGACTTGAACACTCTCCGATCATAATATATATATATATATATATATTGAAATGAATATATATACCATATGTAATGAGATTTTATAGCTTGACCATTAATATTAGCCATATTTAATACAAAATGATTTCATCTTATTAGTTAATTTGTTAACTTTCTTGTGATTTTGGTTGGTTTTAGACTTGTTTCCAAAGTCAATTGAAGATATAAAGAATAAGAAAGAAAAGGGAAGGTGGGTAGTTGGTAAGATGACAAAGAAGCCCAATAGGAAAAGAGTAAGTTATTAATTAAGGTAGGTTTTGAAAAATATTAGAACACCACCTTTGAATCTCCTTCATATTGTATTAGCTTTAATGTGAAATCACACCTCGAACTCGCATTTTTATAAGCATATAAGAGCATCTCCAATAGTCTCTTCATTTTAAAGAGCACATTTCACATAAATAAAGAGTATTTTTATTAATTTATAAGAACATCTTCAAATGATTCTTCATATGACCCAAACTCTTTATTATAAAAAGTTTATCCATAGAAATAAGAGTCTAACAGACTCTTTATTCTTTAAATATAAATTAAATAGTGAGTTTGACTCTCCATATTTAGAGAGTCAAATTTCACTCTCTATCCTAATTTTAAATAATAAATTACAAGTTTTTATGCATTTTATTTATGATTTCTCTCTCCTATTAAGTTTCTTTTAAAAAAAAACATATTCACTCTCCTAAAATTTGAAGAGTCTATTGGATCTGAATAAAAAATTTGTTCTTTATATTTAAAAATCAATAAAGATGCTCTTTAAAATAAAGAGCACCATTGAAAATGCTCTAAATATATATAAAACAAAAAAATGTATTAAAATCCAGTACTCTCTTTAAATTAGACTTAATAAATAGGAGAGAGATTTAATAGGAGATAGAATTAATAATAAAATGTATAGAAACTTGTAATTTATTAAATGAAATTGGGATAAAGAGTACGATTTGACTCTCTAGATGTAGGGAGTTAAATCTCACTATTTAGTTTATATTTAAAGAATAAAGAGTCTATTGGACTCTTGTTTTTATAGACAAACTCTTTATAATAAAGAGTTTTAATCATATAAAGAGTCATTTAGAGATGCTCTAATATAACACCATGGTTGTTATTGTTATTATTTTAAGCATATACAAAAATTTCATTCCCATTGTCAAAACTAAGATTCCCACTATACATACTTAGGTAAATTTTGAAGATTCTAAAATTTTTAATAGTTTTTAGTGGAATTTTAGTGAGAAAATTAGGATTTGTTAGAGAGTAAGTAAGAAAATTAGTATGAGTAGCCCAATGGTAATGATGAACCAAGAGGGCTATACATGACTTCAACTTATAATTCTAAATTCGATTTCTCGTTGGACTCAAAAGTAATACTTTTATCCATGATTTACCTAGGAGGATGCATCGATGGGTTGCTGTGAGATAACTTTTCCTGAAGATTAGTCGAGATATGTATAAGATAGTTTAGACATCTCAGTTAACAAAAAAAAAAAAAAAAAAAAAATTCAAGAATAATATTTCCATTTCTCTTTGCCCTATGGGCTACTCCTTCTGTTATAGGCAACTAATATGGTTATTACAACTTCATCTTTTTTTACCTCTACTTGAAAATTAAGAATTAAAATGATTATGGGGGAAGAATTTATGTATATAAGTGTATAAATCTTTTTATACCGTCCATTTATAAATAGAATAATTATTTCATGCATCTGATGTACATACAATCATCCAACGAAAGTGTGTTATACCGTCGCGTATTATACATGCGTGTCTTCATTGAACAATAGTGTTTGTATAAGGTATGAAAGAGTTGTTCTTATAAATATAACACTTTAATTATCCGCAAGAAATTATTTAGTGTTGTTAAAAGTACTCTAATTATATATAAGAAATTAGTTAGTCTTAATTTTCTTAAAATTGGAACCAAATTTTATCATGTCCGTAAATTATTAGAAATTAAAATAAAAAATTCTCTAAAAACATTTAATTTTCCTAAGTCGCCACATTTAGGTCATTTTTTGTCATTTAAAAAGAAAGAATAAAGAATAAAGAAAAAAGGCAATGAATTGAAAACCAAAGAAGAAGGTAGTGGAGATTGCAGAGAAGACAAGAGAGATGAGTGCATATTTGTCTGTTGATTTTTCTACCACCTACCATCACGTCTCCACTAACCTACCTAACCCCTCGTCCCCCCTCTCCGTGGCCCCTCCAACACTTCTGCGCCACCTAACCCTCTTTCTCTTTTCTCTATTTCTTAACGGCAATCAACTTCTTTCAACTCTTCATTTCTTCTTTCTTTCTTATCTTTGCTTTCTTTCTTGTTTTGCTTTGATCTTTTTCCATTCCAACAATGGAGGCCAAGCTTCTACGAGCTTCCTCCTCCTCTTCGGTCATTCCCCCTCTTAATGCCCCCAAGCGCTCCCAACCCACTTGCCTTTTTTCTTTCAAAACCAGAAAAAATCCTGCTTTAACGGCTTCTTGTTCCAGTTTGCAGGAGAAACGGGTTCCTCCTCTCAAGGCTTTCTCCACTTTAATTGGGTATGATTAAAGATACCCTTTTGTTTATATTGGATTACTCCTTCAATTTGGCTTCAATATGTCTTGCTTTTGTGGTGTTGGTTTTGTTAATTTGGATTAATTTATTTTGTAGGTCTTTCAAAGTTATGATCTTTAGTAAATTCTTCCATGCAATGGATGGTTTAATGTAATTATTGGGTGCATAATCTTCAATTCAGTTTGGCTTCAATTTGTCTTGCTTTTCTAGAGTTGGTTTTGTTAATTTGGATTGATTTATCGTGTAAGTCTTTCAAATTTGTGATCTTTAGTATATTTTTAAACGCAATGGATGGTTCAATGCAACAATCGGATGCATAATCTTTAATTTTGTTTGTTTCATTTGTTGATTTAGTGTAGGAGAGATGAATAGATCTGTTTTAATACCATGTCATGATTTATTTCCTCTTTTTTTTTTTTTTGGGGGGGGGGGGGGGGGGGGGGGGGGGGGGGGGGGGGGGGGGGGGTGGGGGGGGGGGGGGGGGGGGGTGTGTGTGTGTGTGTGTGTGTGTGTGTATGGTTATGGCCAGGGGCTTGTTTGATTCTTTATGTGTTTTCAGTAGTGTTTTTCTGTCTTTTGCTTTGTCTTGGCACCACCCATGTGCGTGGAGTGTTAATAAGCCTGTTCCGCCATTGAGCCAAATATGTAGAGTACATTGCCTAAGAAAGCGAATGCCTAACAAAGCATGTGTTTTCACATTGCCTTGTCTTTGCACTACCCATATGCCTGGCTGTGAGAACACGTGTGAATGTTCATGTCTTTGAATACTTGCATCATTAAAGCATCAATTTCTGTGTTAGGTTATTCATTGGATTTTGTGAGCAGAACACTTGTGCGTAATATGTAGAGTACATTGCTTTGGAGAAAAGGGAATACCTGACAAAGCATGTGTTTTCATATTATAAAGAATCATGGTATGGTAATGGTTACATACATAAGAATTCACATAATTGTGTACTTCAATTTTCCCTTGCAAGAAATTCAAATTCATAGAATGGAATTGCATGTCAATTGGTCAATTTTCACGATGCTTACATTTATTCTCCTCATGAACATCTATAAGGTTTGCAGTGGAAGATTTTGAGCATTGTAGCTTGTGAATTGCAGTAAACATGGTACATAATCTGGCTTTCTTTTGTATAGGTCATCACGAAGAAAGAAAAGGGTTGATGAGAGTGAGAACTTGACCCTGGATGGCATAAGACGTTTTTTAATTCGACAAGAGGATAGCATAATATTTAGTCTTTTAGAGAGAGCTCAATATTGTTATAATGCAGACACATATGATCCTAATTTTTTCAACATGGATGGTTTCCAAGGCTCTTTGGTGGAGTATATTCTCAAAGAAACTGAAAAGCTTCATGCCAAGGTATGTCAACTCTGTCTTCTTTTTACCTTCTTTTTCTTCACTTGTGATGGACCCAGGGTAACAAAATGATATAAGCAAAGGGCAAAAGGGTAAATGGCGTGGCTGACAGGTGGCATTAAGCATGAAGGGTGTGAGTAGTTAAATAGAATCTATAAAAGAGGGACGTGAGAGAGGGGTAGGGGATATCATTGAATTTGTGGGAATTGTTTTTGGGAGGTGCTAACCCTCAAAGTTCAGCTTCCTTTTCATTTTGTTTCAGTTGCTTTTCGTTTTGATTCAGGAGTATTGCAATGAATACTTTACTTTTATGCTAAGTTGTTATCTTGAATTTGCTTATTTTGTTACTATTCAATTGGTTGGATTGGTGTGTGAATTCTTGGTGGTGTTGTGAGTTGTGTGGTTGTGTTCTGGATTGTGTGTGAGAAAGGTGTCTACAGAGGAGGTATTCATCAACTGGTATAAGAGCCGACGACTTTTGGGGTATGGTTACAAGGATGGAGTCAAGAATGGATAATTTTGAGAGGGAGGTGACTGGTGTTCAGAATGATGTGACGAGATTAATAGAGAATGTAAATGCGATGAGAGAAATGTTGATTGAGATGCAAAATTGGATGCGAAGAAAGGATGAAAAGGAGGAAGCTCACTGGAGAAGTTTGTTGGGAATCAAGCCATTCAGGAACAGGGAACCAACACAATATGGGAAGTCAGTTGGAAGAAGAACCACATGGGTCGGTGGTAACAACAACGGAGAAGGTCATAGAGAATGGGGTGGACGGAAGTTAGAGCTACCAATCTTTTCCAGCGATGACCCATATGTCTGCATTTTTCGAGTAGATCGCTATTTTGCGATTAATCATATCCCTGATGGCGGCAAGGTTCTGGCGACAGCTATCTGTATGGAAGGTGAAGCTCTTCACTAGTACCAATGGACAGAATTGAGAACAGCAGTGATGACTTGGCCAGCGTTCAAGGTCTCCCTCTTGCAAAGGTTCAGCGGAACTCAGGAGAGCAACCCCTTAGAGTTATTGATGGCGACAAGGCAAAGTGGGATGGTGATAGAGTTTCGTCGGCAGTTTGAAGAAATCGCAGTGTTGATAGCCTGTGAAAGAGAAGATGTTCTCACCGCTGCGTTTCCAAACGGGTTGAAACCAGAAATCAAAGCTAAAATTAAGCTGCAGCAGCCCAATATTTTAGCTTAGCCCAACTCCTTGACTCAAGTCACTATTCTGGCCCAAAGGGTTGAGGAGAGAAATCAAGTTTTAGAATAGGCTTGGATTGGAGTGGGTTGTTAAGGGAAAATGAGCAGCATTGCAAGTGGGCCAAGTAGTTTCATTACCCAGATCAGGCCTGAAGAAAACAATAAAAGCCAGCCCACAGATGACTCACCCAGATCGGTCAACTCTAACCAGTCCCTAGATCAAGGAAATCCAGGTGAGACCTTCTCAAACTCAACGTCAGCAGCTTCTGTTAACTTTCGATCGAACTCTTTCCAGCAAATGACAGAATATGAGATTCAACAGAAAAAGGAGATAGGGGTTTGTTTTCGATTTGACGCCAAATTCTCTCCAGGACACCGCTGCGGAGAAAAACAATTTCAAATAATTTTGGTCGATGAAGAAGATGAGGAAAAGTTGGGTAAAAAAGATAAGGATAATGAAAGAGTGGAGGAATGGGGTGGTGTTGGGTAAACAACTTTCATCTTCCCACCTTGAGGACAAGGTGGTACTCCTCGGGAAGGGTAATGATGGACCCAGGGTAACAAAACGATAAAAGCGAAGGGCAAAAGGTAAAGGGCATGGCTAACAGGTGGCATTAGGCATGAATGGTGTGAGTAGTTAGTTAGAATCTATAAAAGGGGATGTGAGAGAGGGGTAGGGGATATCGTTGAATTTGTGGGAATTGTTTTTGGGAGGTGCTGACCCTCGAAGTTCAGCTTGCTTTTCGTTTTGTTTCAGTTGCTTTTCGTTTTGATTCAAGAGTATTGCAATGAATATTTCTCTTCACTTTTATGCTAATTTGTTATCTTGAATCTGCTTATTTTGTTACCGTTCAATTGGTTGGATTGGTGTGTGAATTCTTGGTGTTGCTGTGAGTTGTGTGGTTTTGTTTTGGATTGTTTGTGAGAAAGGAAGGTGTCTGTAGAGGAGGTATTCATCAACTTGTCAATGACTTAAAAACTTACTGAATACAGTAATTTAAAGGAAGGTGTATGTGGGGAGGAAGTGAAAATTTATATGTTTAATGTTCTAAACAATTTAATTACTTGTCAGCTGGGCAGATACCAGAGCCCTGATGAGCATCCTTTCTTTCCAGATGAACTGCCTGCCCCAGTGTTGCCACCTTTGCAATACCCCAAGGTAAGATATAAGATATATTGGAAATATTGTTTTATTGTTTTCTCCCAAACATTTTCGTGCTCTTATGTCCATTTCACCTCCCCCTCTGTTTTACATTTTCAGATTCTAATTATAGTTTCTGCTGAGTTTTAACCTCCCGTCTGGGTTTAACCTCTTCTGTTTTTACACTATGAACAGGTACTACATCCCGTAGCAGATTTAATCAATATAAATGATAAAGTGTGGGGCATGTACTTTAGAGATATCATCCCTAGGTTAGCGGAGGAAGGAGATGATGGCAATTGTGGATCAACTGCTGTTTGTGATACAATATGCTTGCAGGTTAGCATTTTAACTAATTTATTTCTATTTGAAGTGATTTTCTATTAGTTTAAATGAGTGTACTGGAAATAAACGTTAATTGAGATATTTATGCTCATTTCGAAGGTAAAATATCAACAAGTTTGATTTTGAGGCACTTGGGTGTCATGGACAGGAAAGCAACTGTTTTTCTCAAAATCAAATGTTCTGAATTTTTTTTGTTTTTTTTGCCTTTGTGTTTCCATGTGTCTATACAACACAATCATCTCTGATTTTGAGTGCTGCACATTTCATGAATTACTAAAAAGACTTGCCTTTCTTCCAGTTTATTGCATTGCTTCCTTCTTTCCATAGGTCTATGTGCGAAAGTGTTATATGCGTCAGGTATCTAACACTTTCGGTAGAATCCATGATCGTGTTTATAAACCATGATCTGCTGTGTTCAGAGAATCCATGACCAGGTCTGTTGAAATCTTGATCCCACCCAATATATAGACTCATTATATACACCCACTGATGCAAAGTACTGTAATAACATAGTTTAGTTGATAAATATCTTGTGAGATCACTACATCATGCACTTGCATATCAGTTTCGTGTTCTGAAAATAGTGATCATTCTTTGGAAAGTTCTCTTATTCATGAATGCTGACCATTTGTATTCCTTCGTAATGCAGGCGTTGTCAAAGAGAATTCATTATGGTAAATTTGTCGCGGAGGCAAAATTTTCAGCAGATCCAGAAACTTACGAGGCTGCCATAAGAGCACAGGTATAATACTTTCTTGAACTCATTCCAACTACGCTTCTCCAACACAGCTCTTTTGGTAATATTCTTGATTGTCCCTGGATCTTGGTTTCTGCACACTATATTTCCTATTGCGTGAATTTTGCAGGACCGAGATAAACTGATGAGTATGCTGACATACCCACAAGTTGAAGAAGCAATCAAAAGGAGAGTGGAAATGAAAGCCAGAGCGTATGCACAAGAAGTCACTGGGGATGTTGAAGTAGATGATGGAGTAGAGCTGGTGTTTAAAATTACACCAAGCTTGGTTGCAGATCTCTACGGTGATTGGATCATGCCCCTAACAAAGGAAGTCCAAGTAGAGTACTTACTAAGAAGGTTGGACTAAAATGCTATGGAGTCTTCAGTAGTTTTCCATTATAAGATACAAACCCTTTTGGGGATAATGGTTTTGCTGATTCCTGCATTTTGTAAATTGAAGATGCATGAAACAGGAACCTGAGATGCACTTCATAGTGTAAAAATAATATATTGTTTACACAGGGATAATTCTTCCCATGTAGATGTTGATTTTATGAAATAAGTGCATTACATTTTTCGTGTGCTGGATTTGAGCTTTGGCTTGTCTGCTGTTAGGAGTTTGAAGGAGTATTACACAATGAGCTCAGAAGAAATATGTAAAACATTGATGTAAACTAACTAATCCCATGTGAAAATTATTGATACTCATAAAGATCCTAGTAAAATTGGAAAGCAAAACCTCCATTTTACATGTTATATGTCAAATCTTAGGTCCAACCAAGTAAGTATTGTCCTTTTTCGATACAAGTTTGTGGGTTGTATGTAAATATCTTCATTTAAAACACGTCTACTTAGTTATGAGGAAAAGTTTAAATTGAATCATCCAAATCATCATAGATATGAAATTAACTCTTTTGTTATTTAGATTATAAATAATATATTAATGCACCTGGGTGTGAATCTTGATGATGATGGTTAACAGAAAACCAAAATCATAAACACAAACAAAAAAAAAGGGTAATTCTAATTGACTGTGGGCTGTTTTTTTCCCACCCAATTGCTTCACCAGTCAAACCTAACACACCAACTACCAAATCCTATCTGTATTTATTGTTTTTTTACATTTTTTCTGAGAAATCAGCTGATGTTTGGCTTAGTATTTATCCATATTCTGGATCCTATTTTAAATATGTTTGGCACATTATTCCAGAATATTACCCTATTTTTTTAATTACTTTTAGAACCCATAGGTTATTAATTTCACTAAATACCCCCTTAAAAAAGTTTAAAAATTAACAAAAACACCCCCATAACCCAACTTGTCAGATTCCCTCAACCCACGTCGGTGATAGCGGAATCTGTACAACGGCCTAACTTCCGACCAGAAATGGTCGGAAGTTCACCGATGTGGCATTTCGACCAGATCCACCACGGATTGGCCCGTCGTGCGGTCAACGACGGCCAAATCTGGCCGCCGTTGACCGAAAAAGACGGCACATCTTTGGCCATCGTGACGGCCAAAGATGGCCGTCGTTTGGCCTTTTTCGGCCATCGACGGCCATAACATACCGTAGATCTGGTCGGAAAAGGCCATAACGACGTGTTACGGCACAGATCCAACCGGTCTGTGCCGTAACGAAATTTCCGGCAGATTCCGACGGTGGTGGCCGGAATCTGGCATGCAGGTGGTGGGGGGTGTTTTGTCATTTTATATGTTAGGGTCTTTAATTAAATTAGTAAACCTAAGGGCTTTTTTAAAAATTTTTAAAATTTACCTCGTAATACTCCCCTATCCAATAACCCAATAATATCCCCAAAATCCTATTCAAATACTAAACCAAACGCACCCATGATGTTATTGCTGTGCATTCATGTGCCTCACATTAGATTGGATGATGACTCAAATACAGTCTGACTCATTTCCTATTTTGGTCCTAATATCTGTCTTACAAGGTTTGTGCACAATCTCTGTCACACAACCATCCAATAAAAAACCCATTTGAAAAGACAAAAACTGAGAATAATCCAGAAACACATAAGATAAATTTATGGCATTGATGACTTGGATGGTTCTGTATTTCATTGTTATAAAAATTTAGTAATTTAAATGAAATTTGTGAAGTGAATTTCTGCATAAAACCTTCCTAGATAACCAGTTTTTTTTTTATTCTTTTCCCATGTATTGACAGTGGATTCTCCAGTTACAGTTAAAGTAGCACATAATAAATGAAAAAGTTGAAGAGCTGGCATGGGACGTTAAAGTGGATACACAGTTAAGAATGAATGACAGGTTAAAGATTATGAAAACAAAATAACATATACAACTGCAATGAGGGATTGTAGAGGAAAACGTTGTGAGAAAAAGAGCATAGGAAGTCGACTAGCCTAAGGGACATTAAGTATGAAAAGTTTTGTCTAAAGTTAAAATTAATGGCCTTGTAATCAAGCAACTTAATTTGTAGCACAAAATACAAACATTATTTAAACCTAAGATATAGGTTAGAATATGAGGTGACGTGTTATTAGTTGAATTGCATATGAGAATAAGAAAATGAGCAGTTGAAAAGGGTGGAATATTTATATGTCGTACATAATATGCGGCTCAATAACTAATATAGTTTTCTTTACTCAAGTCGAAAATGAGAAGGAACCTTGACGTTTGATATCATAAGTGAATGATTAGTATCTATTTGGTATTCGGTATGGAGTATAAATATGATATAAAGTGATCGAAGTATTTTTGTTGAAAAAAAATAGGAACAAAGACGGGGTTGATCGCAACTTCAGGGTCTCGAGGTTTAGTTGAAGTGTGTACAAACTGGTTTGAGCACCCCTGGTTACCAAAAAAAAAAAAAAAAAAAGGAAACATTGCACGTTTCCCTTCACGCATTCAACTGTACACCTGTCTCACCTATCTCAGGCCGAAGTTGAAGTAAGGGTAATATGACGGGTGAGGATGAGACATGGATATATTGGGATATTGGATCGTTTTCTTATTGTTCTTATGTGAAATTGTATGTCTTTAGAAATACTATTTGGTAAAAATTAATTACAAATAGGATAATAAATTAGAAGTCGTAAATAGGAATTGAAATAATATATCTATCTATTAGGGAAAAAAATATTTCACATACTATTTATAAAATATAGGAGTGAAAACCAATTGAAGGTTATGAAAGATTGTGATACACAAGGTATTTAAGTAAGGGTATTAAACACTAAGAAGAATGTCTTAGAAAATGGAATCATTTTAACTCTATTTTATGTTGGTGTGATTTTTATTCATATATGTATCTGAATATATATTTTTTATCATGCGATTCTCTGACCGGAGTATATCCCCACTCACGTCAACACTTGAGCGGAGTTTTCCACCTAAACAACGTTAGAATAATGACAATGATATTAATAAAAACGCGTGAATGCATCAATATGCTGGTAGCAATAAAACATCGGAAGAAAATTGCAATACAAATAAGACAACTAGTAAAATAAAGACAAACATAAAAATATATGGTAATAAATATTAAGATATATGGAGATCTTAACCGTAGGATTTTAAACAATCAAAAGAGCAAACTAAAAACTAACCATGTTACTATTTGTTGTTTAGAGACTACTTTACAGTTTACAACAGCAGAAAAAGTCACCACCTTTGTGTGTTCTCTGAGCTTTCTTGATAACCCCATAAAAACCCACCGCCAAAGCTCAAACACTCAGCTTTGCATAAACTCAAAGAGTGAGAGATAAAGGGAGAATGGTTGTGGCTCCAAAAATGGTGGTGGGGTGGCTCTGGTGTGGTATGGGCCATGGTAGTGATGGTTCCTGAGGTGGCTGCAACCAGGTGGACTGTGGAACTAACCAGGGGGACTAATAATGTGACTACACAATTTGGGCTCAAGACGCACTTTATCAATGGAGATTGGCTCTGTATGCTCCTCTTCTTTATCTTTTTGCAGCTTTGTTCTAGTTCCTTGCTTGGAGTTAGCTTTGATCTGTTTTTCATCTTTGTAGCTTCATTGCATGATAAGCATTCATCTTTTTAGTTTTGCTTTTCTTGATGATTGTTAAAGACTGTTTTTTTCCATTATAGCTTCTTACTGTCTTTTGCTATATATTTTTTTGAGGAGCTGGGTAGCTTTGTTCTGATAATTTTAATCCAAGTTGCTTTAAAGAGTTGATCTAAATAGTTGTTGCTAAAATAAGCTGGCAGTTAGATATGTGCTTCTTCTTTGTTTTGTGACTCTTTGCAGCTTTAGTCTTTATTAGTCTAGGAGCAGCCTGTTTGGCTGCTGAGAAAAGGAATTTTTGCTTATTGAAAACCTAAGAGTGGAAAATAGATGTTAGATGAGCTCCATTCAATTGTGCTGAAAAGAATAATTGAATTGAAGTGCTTTTTCAGGTGATTTCCATTTTCTCCATTTATTCTCCTGGATTACCCAGATCTGAAATTTTTTTTTTTTTCCTTTTTGTGTAGATGCGCTTCCCTTCTTACTGAACTTTCTTTCGTTTCCATCTCAGGCACGAAAAGTGTCCACTTTCTAGTATTTTAGTTGGAAAAGGGTTTTCTTTACTCTTTTATTGTTTCTTCTGTTACTTTTGCCTTCCAGTCTAGTTCTTTTTTGGTTCGTGGTTACTAATCATAGCAATTCGATTAGTCTGAGTAGCAACTTTGGGAACTCTCGTGTTTTGGCTAATATGTTAGACTTAGAGGCAAACTATTCCTTCGTTATCGAGGTGGAATAGCAGTGTCAAAACCTTTTTTTCCGGCAGTAACCAAAATCGAGGAACCTTAGGCCTCAACCTTAATAACTCAGCGGATAGTGGAATTGAATTGAGTCGAACACAGATTTATTTTATGGCCTTATTGACCTGAGGTTATGAATGTTGTAATGGAGCAAATTGGTGTAGGATGATTGTACTTGGTACTGCAAGCTGCTTTCTTTGCTATAATTGATTTTGATTTAAACTTGTTTGTTTCTGAACCGTTTCTTGCTGCGCGGTAACTTTATTTTCCCCAGTTTTGTGTACGATAGGAACCAGATGAATGTGCTAGAGGTGAACAAGCACGACTACGAATCGTGCAACTCTATCATCCACTTCAAACTGGACTACCGGAGCTGGGAGAGACGTGGTTCACTTAATGTGACACGTAAAATACTTCATCAGTGGCAAGGGCTTCTGCTACGGCGGTATGAAATTAGCTGTCCTGTTGAAAACCACCACCTCACCTCCGCAGTCTCCCCAGTCAAAAGTGGCTCTCCATCAATCTACCAAAACAAGCTTGTTTTACCCGTCTTTTCGCCATCAGGCTTTTGGGGACGCCTCATCATTTTCGGTAACATACCAGCTAGCAAATATTTTTCAGATTACCGGGTCTCTTAGACATCTTAACAATTTGTGAAGGAATTGAGGTATCTTCCTCAGCATATTTACAAAATTTTCTTGTTGGGGTAACCTTTATGTGATGTATTTTTCATTATAGATGACTAGATATGTTGAATTGCAATGGTGTGGTGGTTGTTGCTGTGAATGTTGGCAAAACGACAGTTGAAGTTGAATTTATTTATTGGAGGATTCACTG